CTCTCTCTCTCTCTCTCTCTCTCTCTCTCTCTCTCTCTCTCTCTCTCCAGACCAGGATGTGGAACTCTTAGCTTCTGCTCCAGCACCAGTACCAGCCACCATGTTGCCACGCTCCACACCAAGATGACAATGGACTCAACCTCTGAAACTGTAAGCCAGCCACAACTAAATGTTTTCTTTTGTAAGAGCTGCGGCTCTCATAGTGACTATCACGGCAGTAGGACAGTTGCTGTTGTTATTAGAAAGATGCCATAGGCTCCACATTTTGTTGCCTTCTTGGAGAATGCACAGTGGTACAGCCCCAAGACAGACTTGAAGACAAGCAGGCATGTATAGTCATGTGTACATGAGTCTAAGCGAGGTGATTTAATGACTGGTAATTCAGTCAGCTCAAACTGTACAGCCAGACTCAGTCATATCCCACGGCAGTAATAAAACTCTCTCAGACTGGAGAGATGTCTGATTGGGGAAGAAGAAAGAGTTCTTGTGGAACGTGTATAAAGATCTGAGTTTAGACTGTAACACCCATCTAAGTTTAAGATGAACATGGCCTCTATCCTGCTAACAACAAGGCACAAGTTCTCCAAACAAAATGCCAGGGTAAGTTAGAGCTGCATTCAGCAAGTGCACTTACAAGTGAGTCTGCCACACTGCTGTCCAAGGGGGAAATCAAGGCTAGATAGAGGCAGGCAGGGCTCCTCTGCTCACAGATAGCCACCACATAAAAGCTAGGTAAAACAATTCTACCCATTCAGAGCTTCTACATTTTCAAAGTGATGTCTATTCAGTAGCAGAAGAACTCATAATTAATTCCTAAAAGAAACTCTACTTAGAAACCAGACTACATATCCTTATCAAAGATGTTTCAAAGGCTGCAGTTGAATACAGAATATATTGTGAGAACTATTAATCTCATAAGGGGGTTTTAACCCCACCTTTGATCATTCAGTACCCAGATAAAAGACACAAAGCCTTTATATTTATGATAAGCCCTTACAGCACTAGAGCTGGGCGGATGCCCCGAGTTGTAACCTGCCAGGTTCCATCTGGGCAGCTCTTAACTCTAATTAGCCAGCTCGAGTGGCCATGTTTTCATGACTCCTTACACCCCATGGTGTCTTCTCCTCATCTCCTCCGGCCCCAACCCCAGGAACCAAAACCCAGCTATAGGCTGTCAGCATCTCTATTCAACCAAGTTTTAACTCTTTTTTTTTTTGGTTTCTCGAGACAGGGTTTCTCTGTGTAGCCTTTGCTGTCCTGGAACTCACTCTGTAGACCAGGCTGGCCTCGAACTCAGAAATCCGCCTGCCTCTGCCTCCCAAGTGCTGGGATTAAAGGCGTGCACCACTGCCCAGCTCAATAGTTTTAAATTAAGGAGCAAGGTCACGTAACATCACTTTGTATACTGTGAGGATTCTCTCATCCCTGAGGCAACCAGGACCAGTATATGGTATTTCAATACACAGCAGCAGACCAAACCTCAACTGCTCACTACGGCCATAAGAGTCACTCCAGACCAGGCATCTCTGTATCTCAGACAGCAAACTCTTGTAGCGTAACTTTTAATCACTGGGTTAAGATGGGAGACGTGGTTCTCTCCCTGTACCATGTGATCTCGACGGATGAAGGATAAAGATGGTCAGAATGGGTGGCTGTTGCCTTATTTGTTGTTGTTATTGTTGTTGTTAATGTTCCTTTCCCCTTAACCAAAGACCTTTGTACTTGTTTTTTGTCTATTAAGAAAGGCTCTTGTTCCCAAAATAGGTAGGGTCTTAAGGAAAGGAGAATAAAACCTATTGACACATACTTACTCGTTAGACAGCAAATACACTGAAAAACATAAATCACTCAGTGACTATATAATCAAAGGCACCTGAGGAAGTGTGTTGTGTGATCCTTGGGAGACCATGGGGGAGGGCTGGAGTTTTACTTTTACTGATTGGGTCTAAACAGCATTATTATATTTAAATACTCTACCCAGGAAATCAAAACTCCAGTAAAGACACATAGCTTCTCTATTATCTCCCTGTGGACACGGCAAGTTTTCTAGTCTCCATTTTTTGCCACAAGCAAAACCTTTTTATGTAACGCATGAGGAAAATCCATTTTCTAAAGTACCAGGAAAAGCGAAGTCTACTGGCGGCACTCACCCACTTGGCGATCGGGCAGCCCTGAGAGCTCTTCCCTTCCTTCCCCGTGAACACTATCTTCTCAATCCGGATTGCCTTTCCCTTCTGGCCATACCTGGTACAGAACACAGTAGGGGGCGGGACTAATTAGTGACAATCCGCACTCGAAGTCTCTGTCTTCACATCGAAATGCATTGAATATACACACATGAATCAGTTTGTTTTTTTTTTTTTAAAAAAAAAAAAGCCGGGCAGTGGTGGCGCACGCCTTTAATCCCAGCACTTGGGAGGCAGAGGCAGGCGGATTTCTGAGTTCGAGGCCAGCCTGGTCTACAGAGTGAGTTCCAGGACAGCCAGGACTACACAGAGAAACCCTGTCTTGAAAAACCAAAAAAAAAAAAAAAAAAAGAAGAAGAAATGATTGTCATTTACATTGGCTAAAAGCTAGCTATTATGTGACAGATTGGTTTCCTTACCCAATTCTATTTGCATAAGGGTCACTCTAAATAAAAATAGCCTGACCTCAACACAAGTCTTGGGCAAGTTAGGGTGAAAGCGTGGGTGGGAGTCATCTCAGCTATTTCTACCACTGTACAGTAATAGGAAAATACATGTTCCTGATTCATCAGATAGGCTTGCCGTGTGAGGATGTCTCAGGGCCCCCGCTCCTGGGAGGGAGGACTCAGGAGGACCTAAGAACCATCCAACTCACACTCCTGACTGTCTTCATTCACCTCACGACCACTCCAAGCCCTTCTCTCTGCCTTGACCCGGGGCCACAGGGAAGAAGGGTTTAGCAGGGAAGCACGGCTCCTCACCTAGTCTCCATGAGCTCCCTGACAGCAGCCACACTTGGTCCTGCCCCAAGGTGTGTATAATATGGGCCTCTGTCTTTTTGTGTACCTCCATCTGTGGAAGGAATCAGAGTATTAGACCCAGTTTTACAAATAGCACAGGGGCTTTTTTTTTTCTCTTTGTTTGGATTGGTTTCGACTTTTAACATATGAGACAACAGGGGCTGGCATTGGACTTCTGCCTCTTAGTTCTTCTAGCAGTCAGAGGAGAGAAGAGAAAAAATTTAAGGGGGAGGATTGTATTTGTTCTCTCATCTTTTGGCTATTTTTTTATTAATATGACTAAAACTTAGTAAGATGAGGTCTTAGTAGAACCTCAATGCACTCACTAGGTACCCAAGGATGGCCTTGAACTCCTGACACTCCTGCCTCTACTGCCCAAGTGCTGGCATCGCACCGGGCTCCCTCTCCTGCCTTTGGAAGTTTCTACAGTAACTGTTAACAAAGAGCACTAACTCTGAAAACCTTGGCTTCAGTATCCTATTAAAAGTGACTCTGGAAACAATTCACCCTACTACACGGACACAGTTATGTATTTGTTGTAAAAATGTACACGGAAGTTACTCGTTACAATTATTGGTAATATCAAAAGACAGACAACTTTAACACCTGCACACAGGGAATCAGTTATAGTTACCTTTATAGTAAATACAATAGTTCTTGGAACAACTAAGTAGAAACTTTTTTTTAATATCACTGCAATTTTTTAAGTGAGAGCAGAAAGTTAGTGTACATGACATGTTCACACGTTTGGGAGGCTGAGGTGTGTCCAGCCTGGACTACACAGTGAGTCTGAGGCCAGCCTCAAACAGCCTAAAACAAGGGAGTCACTAGCTGGGCTTAGGGGTACACAGCCGTAACCCTAACACTGGGAAGGAGAACTGGAAGAAATGTTTAGGGGTCAAGGCCAGCCTGCCTTATACACTAACTAATGTCCTGTTAAAATCCACAACAAAACGTCCACTTGGAAAGTGTGTAATGACCTAAATTCTGTAAATGTAGAAAATTAAAACTAACAATAATGCTGCAGCCTAAAAAAGAGCTGGAGACACTATGGAAATGAGACAATAGGAAATCAGTCATGCTTCGTAGCCCGGGCTATCCTTCAAACACACTGCTTTCCTCTCACTGAGGAATAGTCTTATAACATCTTAGTCCAGGCTATCCTTAAATGTCTACCAGACACTCACCTCCACGTCCAGTTTGTTTTGAATTTTTGTCAAATTTCGGAATAGTATGTTCAGTTTGGCCTCTTATCCCCAGTTACTGAGGCCGTGGTGTTTTTACAAGCCCATTTTCTGGTTTAAGATGTAGCTCAAGGGCTAGAGAGATGGCTCAGTGGTTAAGAGCACTGACTGTTCTTCCAGAGGACCTGAGTTCAATTCCCAGCAACCACATGGTGGCTCACAACCATCTGTAATGGAGATCCCATGCCTTTTCCTGGTGTGTGTGAAGACAGCAACAGTGTACCCACATACATGAAATAAATGAATCTTAAAAAAAAAAAAGAAAAAAAAAGATGTAGCTCAATATGGAGTGCTTCCTTAGCACATACAAGGCTATGGGGAGAGTTGCTAGAGATGGGTGGAGAGGGAGGAAACACATTGGAGCAAGCAGAAGAGTATTTGCAATTAAAACAAAACAAAACAAAACAAAACTGAGGACTGTGGAGATGGCCCAGCAGTTAATAGCACCAGCTGCTCTTCCAAGGTCCTGAGTTCAATTTCCAGCACCCACATGGTGGCTCACAACCATCTGTAATGGGATCTGATGCCCTCTTCTGGTGTGTCTTAAGACAGCTATAGTGTACTCGTATTAAAAAAAACAAAACAAAACAAAACAAAAAAAACTTTTAAAAAAAAAAAAGAAAAGAAAAAGGAAAAGAAAGAGATGAACCTAGGGCGACCCCAGTCATTGTTTTAATTATCTGTAGGTGTGTATGTTTGCTCATGGACACGCACTCAGGGTGCAGATGCCTGTAGAGGTGCTGGGTCCACTGGAATGAAAGCTATAGGGGCATTTGGCAATGGTTTCAGTTATTTTGGGTTCTGCCAAGTATAGGTGTGTGTATGCACTCTGGCTTCTGTTTAATGGAAAGGGGCCAGGCACTCCCTAATTAGGTCTAGCATATCAATACTGCCAATTTTGACAAGCACTGACCCAGGAATGGCTTATTCTATTTGACGGTATCCTGAAAGCAAGACCCTCCGCTACAATGATGTTACTCAGATGACCGGAGGTTTTGTTTCCGCCTGTTTAAGAACACAGAAAAATCATCACCTGGAACCGTGGTTCTCAACCTTCCTAATCCTGCAACCCTTTAACACAGTTCCTCATGTCATGGGGCCCCTAACCATGGAATTGTTTTCATTGCTACTTTATGAACTGTAATTTTGTTACTGTTATAAATATAACATAAATATCTGATATTTCTGATGGTCTTAGGCATCCCCTTTGATCCAAGGGGTCAAGACCTACTACAGGTTGAGAACTACTAATAACCAAAACCCATGGCATTCAGTGTTCAGTAATGGGCCGCCCAGTATGTCTTTGTATGACTTTGTACACAGAACCTGTTAACCCCACACTCCAAAACCTGGGTTAGCCCAGAAATAGACAGGCCTTTTAAAAAAAAAAAAAAAAGAAAGAAAGAAATCTATTTTTCCCTTCACAAAGATATACAGAAAAGTAATTTCTTATAATGTTAAGCTTTAAAAGAAACAGCGGGTAGAGGTTATTTGCACAGGGTCTAGTTAAGTAAGACAGTCCTGCGCCACAACTCTGTGTGGATAATTCTCTCAGTCGAGAAGTGTGTGTGCATGTGTGCGTGCATGCATGCCTGTGTGTGTGTGTGTGTGTGTGTATGTGTGTGTGTGCACGCACACACGCACTAATTCTGATTTTGAACTTTCTAAGTAGTGAAAGATGAGTCTCTAGCACCGCCTCCATCCTTTGGAGGTGATTACAGCTCCAGCCTGCAGTTGTCATTTAACGACTCACTCTCAAAAAGCCTGCATCTAGGAAGAAAAATACGCATCCCCTTTGGTTCAAGCATGTCTTGAGTTTGGGCCATCCCTGACATGAGTCTATTTTAACAACTAAACCTGAAGAAATTCAGTCCGTATGTATATTATAAAGTCCACTTTGTAAGGAGAGAGGGCAGAGGAAGCAGACAGACTTCAAGAACAGAATCTGTCCTGTCTTCTTTTTGTGTTTATTTTGTTTCGGTCTCAATATTGGCTGGCCTGTTGTTCCTTGAGCCCTTTCATGAAGTCTGGACAGACAGTGACTAGTAGTCTGGACAGACAGTGACTAGTAGTCAGGACAGGACTCAGCTCTCACAGGTCTCATATCGTGAGCAAGTTTCCCATAAAAAGATGACCAGGAATCTTTACATCAGCAAGGAGTGATGTCTTATAAATGTACAATCTTTTTAATTCAGAAAAAAACTCAAACAAACAAACAAACAAAAAAACAAACAAAAAAACCAAAAAGCAAAAACAACCCTGCTGGGGGCAGCAGCCAATGCCTTTAACCATCCAGGGTATCCGGAAGCAGAGGCAGGTGGAACTGTGTCAGTTTGAGGAAAAGCTTTCTTTCGTCTTTTAGATTTTTAAATTCCGTGTGTGTTTTTCCTGTATGTATGTATACATATATGTATATGTATCATGAGCACGACTTGGAGGCCAGAACAACTCACTTGATCTCTTGGAACAGTTACTATACGTGGTCCTGAGCCATCATGTCAGTGCTGGGAACTGAACCAGGGTGGTCTACAAGAACCACACTTGCTGTTCCTAACCTCTGAAACATTTTCCCAGCTCCTACACTTTACAGAAATATTTTGCTACTGTGTGGTGGTGGCAGCGGCTGCACATGCCCTAATCCTAGCACTGAGGCAGAGGCAGGTGGGTCTCTGAATTTGAAGATAGCCTGGTCTTCAGAGAGTTCCAGGACAGCCAGGGCTATACAGAGAAAGCCTGTCTGGAGGATGGGGAGGGGTCTGTGTTAAGTCTGCGTGACTGCAGTCACCAATAGAGAAAGGAGGACCTCCTAAGGTGGAGGCACAGATGATGGTTGTGAGCCACTGGAGACCTGTGTCCTGCCTTAAACTGCTCAGGCATTTCTCTAGCCCCTCTCTGGTTTTGTTTGTTTGTTTTGGAGGGGTTCAGGTTCTAACTGGAAAACAGAGGCTAGACTGAAAACCCTTCTCCCTCATTCAGCTCCCCAAAAGTTGCAATTCCAGGAGCCACCACATCCTCTCAAAATAATAGAAAAAGCAGCACATCCAGAACAAAATTAACAAAATTATTTTAAGTAAAGAGAAATTTTATCATTCCTGTCATATTACTGTAAGTGTGGAGATCTGAGAATGTTTATCACAGCTCTGGGCATAGAACTCAGGGTCCAGGATTGTGTGAGTGATTTGCTACCTCCATAACCCTCATGAAATATTAAGTAAAGATTGTTATGTCCCAGATCAACCATCTCAACAGCTAGGCTACAGAGTCTCCTTATGTGGCACGCCTTTCCTATCTTGAAGTATAGAAGCCGTGGATTCACTCGCCATCACTGAGGCTGTGCGTGGTTTTATGTCCTCTCTATGCACCTTGTAGGTTGAACTGTCTTTGGAATGGGTAGAGCAGAAGCAAATGCGACTAAGCAAAGTCCTGAAAACGAACCACTGCGAAGGACTTTTCCCACCAGAAAGCTTTTACCTCTTTTCCGAGTCTGAGTAGAATAAATAAGATTTCAAAGTAAAAACAAGAACAGAATTACTTAGTACATCTCAGCTAGACCAGAAAGAGGCAGCGATGGCCTCACCCCCACCCCCCAAAGACGAATCGGGAAACCGCCCGCACGAGTGCGTACTCACCACAATCACAGGGTGCAGGTTCCTGCTCCTTCAATCCAGCTAGCAGATCCTTTGCAGGCTTGCTAAGGAAGTCCATGACGTTTCCATTGCATCCTGCCCGTTCACTGTCTGTGGCGGGACCCGAGGGTCCGTTGCTTGATGTTTGAGCTTCACACTTTGTGGTAACAACTGTAATTCCATTGGAAGTTAACACTTTCCCTTTCCTGAGGATTGATGTTGAGTCTGGCAAGTGTGTGTCAGGTGAGGTACCAGGCAACGTCGGTGGTGGTATCTGATGCACCAGGTTCTCTTGAGCGCCTAGATGACACTGTGTTTGGGCAGCACCAGCCATTACAGTAGCACACTGGTTAGATGAAGGGGGCTGGGGCAGAGGGTGAGTGTTCTGATTGACATTCACCACGGACTGTCCCTGAGAAGTATCTGCCGGCTCTGCAAATCCCTGCCCACTGGATTCCATCTTGAATTGGCATGTTGGCAGAGAATCCGATGGTTCAACCTTCACTTTATCCCTTGCCCATTCAGGGTTTCTTGTGAATTGTATCTGACTGATAGGGGGAAATAACTTACTGTGTTGTGAAGGTGTTTTACTTTGAGTCACGGGTTTTAATATTTGGTCAAAGATAGGAATATTTCTCAACAGGGCAGGAGAACTACGTGGAGCAGACTGGCCAAACCTTTGAAATTTGGATGACACCCAAATGTCGTGCATCTTACTATACTCTAGAGCTAGCTGCTCCTGCTTCCTCTGATCACTTTGTTGAGAGCTGTGGGCTGGGGGTTTCTTTTTCCGCTTATTTGTGTATGGGGTTGGTCTTGCCTTTTTCTGGGTCTTCTTTGGCTTCGCCGATGGTACACTAGGTTTATTTTGCGTACTTGAAGGTGGTTTCTGATGTACCACACGTTTCTCCTGACTAGGTTTTTGCTGTGTGTTCTTTGCAACAAGGCTTCCAGGTGTACTTTCAGCATTCCTGACCTCTGGGTTGATGTGACTAATTGTGGACGCAAGTTGGGTTAATTGTGCTGCGACATCTTCTTCAATTTGACTGTAGGGTGCATCCTGGTATGATGGGTCACGGGAATTCAAATTCTGATCGCAGCTTAGTACCTGACGGCAGTTTTCAAGATTTTGACTTTCTACTGGCAATGGATGTGAATTCTTAAAACTATCAAAGGGAGCTTTACCGCCAGCGATGCTTTTCTTGTCAGGTGTAGGTAACGTTGAATATTCTTGTGACTTTATAAGTGCTTCGTTTGTAGTGAAACTATCGGGTGATTTGACCGCTGGGTTCTGGCCATTAAAGACAACAGTGTCATGGGGAAGACTCTTTCCTTGAACATTTGGGACTTGGAGGTCTTTTCTCACTGAATGAAGGAAAGCCTTGCAACTGTTAAGTAGATTAGCTGTTCTGTGATGTGTTTCTTCCTCCTTCTCTGCCTTGGATGGGGAGGAGTTCTCTGAAGGGGCTTCCGAGAGCTGAGTCAGGGCTTCTATGGCTACCATTTGTTCCAGCGTTAATCTCCTGTCTTTCATTAGGGATAAAAGACTTGGTTGCACTGAAGAGCCATCTTTGCGTTCTTTGTTGGATACCTTCTCAGAGGGTTGAGGTTGACTACCAGCACTGGGTGTATTAGGAGTATTATTAAGGATGGTGGATTCTACACCAGACCGGCAGTTCAAGCCAGGTTTCTGGAAGAGCACGATGTTCCTTGGCCCCTTGAGATGATCACACTCCCCCTCAGAGGTGGTGACACTCATGGCATCCTTGAAATTGGAGGGATCAGTCAGCAATTTAGAGGAATTATTATTTCCCAATACCCTGCTAAAGTCCTCATGATTCAATTGGTTGAGTGGAAGGTCTGTGTCAGCGGGCAAACAGTGTACATTTCTCATGCCGTTTCTTATGGTCTGTGCAAATGTCGGGGAAAGGTTGGTTTGTTGCTTGTCATCTTCAGAGGGTTGGGAATTTTCAACCCCAGTTAAGTTTGCATCGTGGCTTCCCTTGACTTGACCAGCTGCTAAGTGTGATTTCTTGTTTGGCGTCCACTTCTCCACTTCGATTCCCGTCATGCCTCCTGCATTCTTCCTTACATTTTCAAGGGGATGTGTGATCAAATCCAACCTTTGCTCTTCTTCCCCATGACCACGTCTACTGTAGTCCATGGACTCTGATTTGGGGCCATTTACTGGTTTGTTCTTAAAGTCTGTCTGTAAAGGAAGCACAGAAATTACTTCCACTACCTGCTGAATGTCTACAATGAGATTTTGTTGTTGTTGTTGGCTCCTGCTATGTATCCAAGATGGCTTGGAGTTTGCAGCAATGTTCCAGACTCAGTTTGAGTCCTGGGATGACCTCTGAGGTCGGCTACGCCTAGCTGGAGCCCCACAATTCAGTAGCTTGAGTGAAGTCCTGGACCTCATCCCCAAACTGCCCTCGCCCCCACTTAAACTACACGTAGTAGTTCAACCTGAAATCCCAGAAAGCCAGAGGCAAATAAACCTCTGCATTTGAGGCCAACTTGGTCTACACAGTGTGTGTCATGCAGGACAGCCAGGGATGCATAGACCCAGCCAATGAATCAAGTAATAATAAGTAATGCTTTTGTTCAGTAGGCAACACTACAAAGGATGTGCTCAATATCCAGAATCAGCAAGGCCGGGGGTGTGGTGCAAATCTTAAGTGTGTGTTGAATCATGGCCACATCCCAGCCATGAGCTTGTCACTCAGCCTGCAAGCCTTTGTTCTTTGAGATTGGCATCATGTTTTATGTGACTTCCTTTCACTGAGTCTGACGCTGGCGAGTTACGTTCACTTTGTTAAGTGTAACTGTAGCTCATTCATTTCACTGAGCAGTCTACTTACTCATGGACACTCCTCGACATGGAGATTTGTGTTGCCCATTGTAACTATACGGCTAGGGGCTAGGAACCTCTGGGTCTCTTGGTATAATTACATTCAAATGACTATACATTATAACGACCAATTAGCATATTACATTTATGCATAATCTGAGCTAAGGCTTTCGAAAAAGAATTTGAGTATTTTGTATTTATGTGTGTATGGACCTAGATGCACATTACCTGTTGAACCCAGAAGAGGGTGTCAGAACCCCTACAAATGGAAGTAGAGTATTGTGAGCTATCATGTGTGTGCTCAGAACTGAAGCTGGGATCCGCGGAACCAGCCCCACTTGCTCTGCTCTTCACCATAGTATACGTTGTATAGATGCCCGGTTTTTTGTCAAAATTCTGTTGAAAAAAATGGCACTGTCTTATGTAAAAAGTACCTCCCCCTTGTGTTTATTTCCGAGTGGTAGCATGGGGGTGGGGGGGAAGAGTTGAGAGAAGGCTTCATGCATGTTATAACCGGGTAAGGCTTTAAAATTTCCAGGCAAGACAGGCTAAATCCATGCCTCAGCCTCCCAACTTCTGAGATTACACGTGGCCTATCAGCAAAACAATAAACTTGGGCACCTAGGCACTGGAGCCTTGTACATGGCAGGGCTCTGCTGCTGATCTGCACCCCGGGCAATCATTATTTCTCCCTCTTTTTCCTCATCGTCTTTAAGATTTTTTGAGACTTAATGGTCTATAACCATCCGTAACTCTAAATTCCAAGGAATCCAATCCCTCTTCTGTCTTCTTTTGGTACCAGGCATGCATGTAGTGCATTTAAAATACACATGCAAGAAAAATACCCACACCCATAATAGATAAAAATAACAAATCTTTTAAAAAAGAACTAACACTTAAGACAAGGAAGTTCTCTGTTGGGGATTGAGAATACATAGTTCAGTTGTGCCCCTGCCCCTGCCCCCGTCCACAGCAGTGATCATGATAAATCCTTTCTAAAGCAAAGCTTTAAGGAGCATTGTTTCCACTTGGGAGGCAGAGACAGGCGGATTTCTGAGTTCAAGGCCAGCCTGGTCTACAGAGTGAGTTCCAGGACAGCCAGGGCTACACAGAGAA